CCAAAAACCAAGGGATATTTCAAAAGGCCACCTGTTCCTTGGTTTAATAAGGATTGTAAAAATGCTATACGACTCCGAAGAAAGTCACTTAAGAAATTTAAAAAGAATATGAATCTGGCGAACCTCATAAAATATAAAAAACAAAAGGCTATATTTAGAATAATAATAAATAATACAAAAAAGAATCCTGGATATAATTCATTGAGTCCATTAATTCTTCAACTCCTTGCAAGGTAGTTTGGGACAGAATTAATAAAATAAGGGGAACAAGCTCTATTTGCGGATATACCCTGATGATATCGGAAGAGAAATTGTGTGATAATCCACATATAATAAGCAGACAATTCGCCAAATATTACTCTCAACTGATGTACTGATGGCTTTATACATAGCACAGCTCAGCAATTGGACTTCTCCACCACTGAGCCATTTCAAGAATACAACACTTCATTTACTATTTGGGAACTAAAATCAATACTGCAGGACATCAAAGGATCTTCACCTGGGCTTGAAGGATGTTACAACACCTTCCAGAAATCACATTGAGGTGGCTGTTGGGCTTTTACAACCACATCTGGATCAGTGGTAACTTCCCTACCAACTGGAATCAATCTATAGTGGTACCAATTTTAAAATCTAATCAAGATAAGCTCTATCCATCCAGCTATCGACCAATTTTTCTGACCAGCTGCCTATGTAAAGTAATGGAGCAGATGGGGAATAAGAGGCTCACGTGGATCCTAGAAAAATACCAGCTGATTCAAAACTTCCAATGTGGATTTCGCAAAGGGAGATCGACAATAGACCCCCTAGTCCAACTAGAGGCTGAATTATAGTATGGCTTTGTTCAAGAAGAGGAAGCAGTTGCTGTTTTCTGATATGCACAAAGCCTTTTATAAAATCAATAAATATTTAATTCTGAGAAAGCTCCATTCACTAGGATTTAGAGGTAGTCTTCCCGAATTCATCTAAAAATTTCTTTCTCATCGCTCTTTTCGTGTCCGAATCGGAACATCGTTGTCCATGCAATATGAACAGATGAGTGAGATACCACAAGGATGTGTCATAAGTGCAACTCTATTCGCCTTGGCCATCAACGACCTTGGATTAAATCTACCATGTGGAGTTTAAAGTTATGCTATATATGCCAGCCCACATCTTTTTACCTGGAGATCTCTCCGTAGGTGGCTTCTTGTGCTGTAGATGGTGGCTGCTTGTCGAATGGGCAGACACGACCAGCTCCTCTCAGGGCTTAAGTATTATCTTTATCTTTTAGATCTGCCCCCACCACTCGCCTTAATGTGGGCTATTTAAACGAAAACTCTTCTCTGACACAACCAACAACAATCACCAGACCTTTATCTAGGAGATGTTAAACTATCATACACCGATAACTGTAGATTCTTGGGATTGTCGTTAGATAGACGTCTGTCTTGGGAACATCACATCAAGTCATTGAAAGAAAATTGCTCAAAAAAGCTTAAGATATTAACGGTACTAAGTGGAAAAAAGTGGGGAGCGGACAGGAATACAATGCTAAAAGTGTATCAAGCATTACTAGGTTCTAAGGTAGATTTTGGCAGTTTTGTTTACTGCTCCTCTCGTAAAAGTAGTCTTGCCAAGCTTGACTCAGTGCACCACACAGGAATACGCCTCACTACTGGAGCCTTCAGGACTTTTCCAACTCTTAGTCTCTGTGTCAATTCAGGCCTACCACCTCTCATTTTCAGAAGACAAAAACTAGCAACAAATTATATAACAAAGTTGTACCCACAAACCACACACCCTGCCTACAAATACATTTTTGAATCTAAATTGTCTACAAAATTCCATCAAAAAAATAATACAACACTGTGCCATTAGCAGAAAGGATGGTGTTAGCAATATGTAATTTGAAACAGATCAACTTAAATGTTATTCAAAATGAAATACTCCCTGGGACTTTTATACAGCCTAAATTAAATCTATTGTTCTCCAAATTTAATAAAGAAAATACAGAATCTGCAAAACATTAAGAGTTATTCCACTAGCTCTCTGCCACAACACTTACTAATATTCACCGACGGTTCTAAATCAGACACATCAACAACATCCGCCTTCGTCACACCTGATGCTACCTATAATAAATGTAAACTACATCCACTTTTATATATATTTTATATATATAAATATATATATATACACATTTTTGGGTTGAAATGTTGGCAAAAATAAAAAATTTAAAAAAGACTGCGTTTTATATATATATATATATATATATATATATAATAATATATATATATATATATATATATATAATATATATATATATATATATATATATATATATATATATATATATATATATATATATATATATTATAATATATATATATATCAAGACTGCGTCCTGAATATTTATCACCCACCATTATATATATATATATATATATATATATATATATATATATATATATAAAACGCAGTATTTTTTTAAAATTTTTATTTTTGCCAACATTTCAACCCAAAAATGTGGGTCATCTTAAGTTCTACCTTATATTTGCTTATTAAGTACGTACAACAATATCAACTTCCTTATGATAAATATGCTTAATTTAAAATAAATCTAATTTATTACATGGTATTAAGAGCGATGTAAAACCTTTAAATTACAATAACAAAAATGTATATGTTGCAATGATACAGTAACAACAAATTAAAACTTAACCTCAGATGTCAGTCAGTTTATTTTAAAATCAGATGCAAGTTGACAAATTTTATTTATCTTAAACGAAATAGGTAAGTACTCAAAATCAAATAAATACACTTAATATTTGGCTGATTACTTCTGAAGATTTTTGATTTTTAGCTTGTTCCATGATAGATTATTGAAGCCGATTATGGCGGTGGCGGGTGTTCAACATACGAACCATCAAATCCGGCTTTTCTATCCATAGACACTGGTGTCTTTGCTAATTAATTAATTTTAAAAATGTTAAAATAATATAAATTTATAAGAGTTGTATGAATAAAATATCGAATAGCAGTAATTATGATGTATATTAAAATTACATTAAATTAAGTTAGGTATCCGATAGGGCTGTAGCCTGAGCCCGTTGCTCTTCATCATGGCTCTGGACTTGGCAATAAGGAGGAACAAGCCTCTAATGAGGTAATTCCAGCTAGGACACAGAAATCTGCACCCTACCAGATATTCCCTGTTGGCCTTCCATGACGACCTCGTCCTACCAGCTGCCAATGATCGAGACCTCCAACATAACATAAATGTCCTCCAAGAGGAATTATTCACAGTATATATATGAAGATTAATCTGGGGAAGATGTCTGGGAGCTCATCTCAATGAGAGTGGCTACATTGAGGAAGAAGTAGCCCAAAGAATTGAAGCAGCAGGGAGGATGTTCAGTATGGTCAGACGGGGTTTCCTGGGAAGAAGAGAGGTGTCAAAGCGGACCAAACTAGCCGTCTATAAATCGACATTCCTCCCTATCCTGTCGTACTCTTCAAAATCGTGAACCCTCACCACAAAACACAGAAGCCATACACAAGCCATGGAAATGAGGTATCTGTGTAAAATCGAACGAAAGATACGGCATACCACCATATGGGCTAATCTCGGCATCAAACCGGAGGAGACCATTTTGGAGGAGCTCAAACTAAAGTGGTTTTGACATCTTCTTAGGATGGATCCAGATAGAAGCACCAGGAAGACTTACGAGACCCACACGGAAGGGACCCAGAGGAAGGCCTCACATCTCCTGGGATGACAATGTAAAAGAGGCATTCAGGAAGTGTGGAATGGATTGGAGTAAGAGAATGGAGTTGGTGCAGGAGAGAGACAGCTGGACCAGACTCTATAAGCAGGACCCTCACACCGAACCGTGGTAGAAGGGGGAATGATTATGATGATAATGATTAAAATTAAAGAGATTTCCCTTGAATAATAATAATAAAAATAAATCTTAAAAACATTAAACATAAAAAAAAAACCTTTCCAACTAAATTTACAAATGCTGTAGATGCTTACAAATGCTGGCATGATACTATTAATGAATTACTACATTAATTTAATTAGATAAAATTGATTTAATTGTTAAATTAATCATATTTTAAAATAATATGACAGAGGAATTTGTGTATATAAAAAAGTTATATTTTTATACAAAGGAAAAAAAGAGACGTTTAGAAGATCTCTGTCTTGAATGGAGGACCTTAACAATACCAGGCTCACACGGTAGCCACTACACCAACGCTATGCTTAACATGAACTACTGATAAACATAAAGTTCTACCTCAATATGAGATGTATTATGAGGAAAATAATGTTTTTATTTTCACTTGTGAAACTGGAGACCCAGAGGATCAGAAATATTTTAAAAGGTGCTACTCACCTCCAAAAATGTTCCAAAAATCAAAATAAACCGATTAACTCTAGCAGATCTGAGGAATAGGCAATATGCTAATAATATGATGAGGAAAATAATGCTCCAAATGTGGGAAGTCGTCCATTTGTTAGCTGGATTGGCAAATCTTGGGTTTTCCATTTAGATCCATGATGAAACAAGAGTTAACCTCATGATACACCATACAGTATTTTTCCTTCTTCATGTCATGTGACATGTAACAAGAAGTAGGTCGCACTGGAAATGGCCGAGAACATCGCTGCTTGGGATATATCGGAGTTTACAAAATATTTAATGGTACAGTCACAAAGAAAATAAAATGGTATGCCATATGGAAACAAACAAAAAATTAAATTAAAATAACCAGTCCATGTTGACTGCAACACTAATGAAAAGAAAAACAATAAAATTAAGACATTACTTATTTTGATTGTTGACCATCTGTTCTATAACTATTTATTAAAACTGCAATTAAACTTTACTCTATAAATTAAAAAATATCTAATTTATATTTATATATTTATATGTTGTTTTATGGTTTACAAAATGTAATATTCTTTTTATCTAAATTATGACTTTAATTTTCTGTTTAAACATTAGTTCCAGATAATGTTGAAGATGAAACAGCAGGTTCTGTACACTTTATTGATGGCTATAATCAACGCTATGGACAGTCAGCTCCTAGTTTCTTTCCTGGTACTTTAGAAGATGCCATTAAAGAAGCTTGTTTTCGTCCAGCACGAGAGGTAAATTTTCTTCTATTTTAATTTTACTTTAATCTCTCTATGTCTTTTTATCATCTACAGTAATATTATAAAGTGGGAAAACAGGCTGAAGGAGCAGGTTAGCTTTGTAAAGAACTGTTCTACCATCTCCTGGGCTTGAATTTGAATCTGGCAGTGGCAAATAATTATTTATTCTGTTATATCAGCTGTTAAAAAACCATGGGATTGATAGACACTCCTGGGTCCCACTCAGCCTCTATTAAGTGAGTATTCTTCATTGGAGGAAACCTTTGGTAGAGTTGAATGTGATACTGGCCAAATCACTTTCTTGCACAACCTTTGCTCTAGAAATAGTACTTCTAACAAGTAATGAACCCTAAACCTTTAAAATTTAATTAAAACTTTGAGCGTGTAGCAAAAGCACACTTACCCAAATTTTGTATGACAGAAACAGAACCTCTTGATCTCACTACACAGGATCGTTGTGCTGGTGTACATATGTGGGACTTGGCAAAAAGAGTGATTACAAACAGCAGACTTGAATGGGGAGAACATTCATTCTCTCCTGTTAAATCTGCTGGCACTGATGGAATCTATCCGGCATTGCTGTAGAAGGGGCTCTCAGTAACAAGGTCATACCTCTTGGAACTACTAAGAAATAGCCTAGCACAATTAAATGGAGAATATCTAATATTTGAATATGGCATTTATACCAATATGCCTGTCATCCTTTCTAATGAAAACATTGGAAAAGATACTAGACAGGCATATCAGGGAATGCATATTGGCTACAAGTCTAATACACTCAACAGAATTTGCCTATCAACCAGGAAAATCCTGTGAGGTGGTACTTCATAACTTGGTTGCAAGAATTGAAAAATCCTTAGAATAGGGAATTCATGATAGGCGTCTTCGTTGATATTGAGGTTGCCTTTGTTGGAACCCCCTAAGATGCGCTAAGGAAGAAAGATGTGGACCCTATATCCTCTAGATAGACAGGCGGAGTAAGCTGTTCCTTAAAGGGCCATGTGATAAACGAAGTAAGTTACTACTGAATCTGGACAAGGCAGCTCTAAAAAAACTTACAGTGATCTATACTGGTCACTGTAAGTTAAATTACCATATGTTCAATCTCCGAGTGATCAAGAACCCGCTATGCTGATTCTGTCAGGAGAAGAATGAAACAGCCTTTCACATCATTTGTTGATGTGATAGGTTTCCAAGGCTTAGACTAGAGCTATTTGGAGAGGATCGAGTGGATACGATAAGCTTACTAAGATACGGGAAATGTGACTGAATAAATGGTTTAAGAATAAAGTGGACATTATACATGGCGCACAAAGATCCTCAAGTATCTTAGTGCTTTATGCCAGCAGTTTAAAAAAACAAAAAACCTTAACCCTTTTTTTTTCCTGAAAAAATATTGATTTTTATGTCTTCGTTTTCTTTCATGTTTGTTGTTGGTACAGTACAATCTTAATAGTTACCACTCTAATCTGGCACATCTAGTTATTTGTCATAATGGGGAAAAAAACATTTTTTTTTACCTGTCACCATTTATTTATCCATTATTGTTAATAACTCCTAAAATGGTTATTATTTTTTCTTAGTAATGAAGTAATACTATAGCAAACCCTAAACATTCAGGATTTGTAATCCGTGAGGTTTGGTTAATCCACGAATACAAAAATAGGGAAAATACCACATTCATAAAGTGTGAATTTGACTATTTCTGGAAAAGCAAATGGACTAAAATGATACTAACAAGGATAAACTACAGTTAGTGGGTCACATATCAAACAAATTTATTTTGATGATACTACATTAAAAAAAATTAGGCACATGTCCTAACATTTATTCGTTCCAATGGGCCCTAGGAGCCATGACAACAAATATTTTATATAATTTCAAACAAAATTTATGTTATTTATTTTTGCCTTTGCTTTACCCAAATTTTCAGGTTATTATATATCAATTGATTTTTATTGTTGTACAGAATAGGAAAAATATATTGACAATTGTATTAAATGAGTTGTAATGTATCATAAATTACAAAAACAAAAGGTGTTTCCAGTAAAGTAGGCCAAATAATTTTTTTTATGAAAAAGCAAGTTAGATTCGGTTTTTGGTGTTTTTTGAAACTTTTAAGTATGAATTTTTATAGAAATAAAAAATTACAAAATTTAATACTTGATTTTCTGAAAGGTTTTTTTTTTTCGGCCATTAACTAAAGCATTCATAACTTCTCAAGATTTTCTCCAAATTCAATGTTAGTATAAATGTTGGAAAGCTGAATTACTGCTCTTTCAACCCACACCGATAACTTTTAGATTTTATTTTTTTTTTAAATTATAAATTGAGAAAAACTTCCCAATCATTTTTATTTTATGTCTTTAGCTCTAATTTTTTTTACAAAAGTCAGGTTTATATCATTTCATGTATCATACAGTGGCCTAAATCTCTAATGTTTGTGTGGATCTGTGGAGCCGTTCTAAAGTTATCACAATTTTTGTGGCCTATCAAAGGCACTTTCTATGTCTACGAAGGGACCCATCCCTAAATAAATAAGAAGTTATTAAATAATAAACAAAATTATAAGAGTATTAATACATTTATTTATCTGAGGTGTGCGTTACTGTAAATCAGATCAAAACACTCAGACAAACTAAAATTAACTGTACTAAACACTGTTTGATTTTAAAATAAAGTCAAATGTGGATTGGCTAGCTTACCTTTTTTCTATAGATACTGTTTCTTCCTTTGTTGCACTAAATTCATATTTCTGCTGCTTTCCAATCTTCTACCAAACCCAACTTCCAAAATGGTGACACTTTCTTCTATTCAACTCAATCTCCCTGAGAGATCATCTCTCTTTTAATACCAAAAAACTACTCTCTCTACCAAACAAAAACTTTCAAGATGGTAATACTATTATTGAGTTTTACCCACTGGAGCCAGGATCACTTTCCCTATCCTCTCTTCACTGTAGCCTTACAACAATTGCTTGCCAAAACAAAAACCTTTGTCCCTCCCCATTTTGGGATTTTCCTTTTTGGGAAAACTACAGAGCAGCCATTCTCTTTTCCCTGAACTAGTGAAACTAGATTAGCTTGCTTTTTAACTTTTACATTAATTTATTTAATAATTTTTAACAACTTTCAATTAAGGTGCATATTACAATATGTTGTTTATACTTACTTACTACGTATCTCTACAGCCCGGGGTGGGCCTTGGCTTACCTGACAACATTGCACCAGTCAACGCTCTCCTCTTCCTGTTCCTTATACCAAGATTTTCCAGGTCCCTTTCCACATCATGAATCCAACGTCTCCGAGGTCATCCTCTCCTTCTGGTGCCATACATCTTTCCAAGCAGAATTCTTTTTTGCATTTTCACTTCATTCATCCGTGTTACGTGACCCAACTATTCAATTCTCCTTGCTCTTATGAAGCAGACAATGTCACAAGATCCATATAGCTCATATAAATCGCTGTTCTTCCAGATTCTCCATTCACCCTCTTTCAATACAGGTCCATAAAGTTTACTCCAACACATTTATTGTGAGGGTGCAAAGGGTCCAAGTTTCAGCAGAATATGTCACTACTGGTCTTACCAATGTTTTATACAATCTTATTTTTATTGTTTGTGACAACAGCGATGAGCAGAAGAGTTTTATATTTGCATAATAAGCCCGGTTACCTGCCATGATCCGTCTATTCACTTCTGCTGATATTTCATTTGTGCAATTAAGCTTTAGACCAAGATAGGTGAAGGATTTAACATTTTCAAAAGAAAAACCTTCAAAGCGCAGATCTTTTCTAGCTCTTGAATCACTGCCTGAACTTACAAACATGTTCTTGGTTTTGCTTTCATTGACTTCTAAACCAAGCACTTCACCTTCCGCTTTCAACAGCCTGAACAAATCGATAAGAGATTGCTTATTCCTTGCCACTAAATAATATCATAAGCATATGCACATATTTGAGTGGATGAACACAGTATATACCCATTGGAGTTTAGCTTCACAATCATACTATGTAGTGCAAGGTTAAATAGTGTAGCAGATAGCGCATCTCCTTGCCTAACTCCAGCAGTGACTGCAAAACCGTGACTAAGTGTACCATTAATACACACTTAAGCATTATTGCCATCCATGGATATTTGGAATGTTGGAATCTCCCAGAGCACATATCATGTTACTTCTTTTCACTATCACTCTATCAAAAGCACGGCGGTAGTCTATAAATAGCATGTGAAGGTCAGTTTTATAGTCCCAGCAATTTTCCATTAACTGTCTCATTACAAAGATCTGATCCGTCGTTCCCCTGCCCCTGGGGAATCCGCATTGGTATTCCTGTAGAACATTCTTGGCAAACTCATTTAATCTCTGAATCAATATGTTGGAGGATATTTTGTACGCTACTCCTGAGCGATATTCCTCTGTAAGTAATTTTCGCAGAGCAACCTGTCTCCCTTTTTATGTATAGGGTAGATTAAACTTGTTTTCCACTCTGCTGGCATGCATTATTTGTCCCATATATCCTCAATTAACAAGTATAATTGATTATTTAGATCCTCTCCACCTTTTTTAAAGAATTCGGCAATCAAAAGGTCTTCTCCAGGAGCATTTTTCATTTTTTAATTTGTTAATTGATTCTACCACTTCCTCAATTGAGAATGTTCTAAATCAGACAAGTTTTCTAGCTCCGTTGTCTCATCAGGGTCTGTGCTTCTTACATTCAGAAAATCATTGAAATGTTCCTCCCATCTGTCAATTACTATTTTTTTTCTAATATTTTTTCATTTTTATCTTTACATGCATCAACCTTAGGTTGGAATCCACGAACCATATATCTGATGGCCCCATAGAATTACCTCGTTTCATTTTTCACTCTCAGTTCCTCTATTTGTTCAATCTTCTTTGCCAAGAATTCCCTTTTCTTCTTTCTAATAATCTTTATGGCCTTTCTTCTGCTTTCTTTATAGGCAGTATAGCTTTGTCTGGTGGAGCGTTGGAGTACAGCTGATCTATGCTCATTTTTAACATTTAGGGCTGCTGTACACTCCTCATCCAACCATTCCTCACTTCTCCGCTCTCTCCTCTCTCCAATCACTCTATCTGCAGATTCCTCATTAGCTTTTCTAATTTTATGCCATCTCTCTTCGACTTCACCAATTCCAATTCCTTTCAAATTTTCTATTAGCTTTTCACTTAGAGATTCTTTAAATTACTCAGTGATGATATCTTCAAGTTTAAATTTTTCTAAATCCTATTTCTTCCTATAATGCCGACTCCCAGGCTTCACGTATGCTAATCACTCTCTAAACTTTACTTTGACGGGCAGTCTTTACATCAATAATTGATGATGAATGCCTTCTATCAATACGTGATCTATCTGGGTTAAAATAATTTTAACATCATATTTTGGGAGATGCATGATATAATATGTTGTTTATATATAATTAAATAACTAATATATATTGTTTGTATCTTATATAGCCCTCAAGAAGACCTCCAACATAGGTCGAAACGTTGGAAAAAATGTAATAGAATATACTATTTATAATATAGTATTTTTGACTGCAACTCCTGACTAACTTCTTCTGACATTAGAATCCACGGTCCACCAACTCCATACCATTCCATATTTTATAATTTATTTTTGTAAGACTACTTCAAAATATGTACATTTGTTGATCTTCATGGATTGACAATTTTTAATATCAAAGATTAATAGTAGTATTTTGTTTTATATGTTGTTTTTATTATTGAAACATCTTGAATTGTTACAGAGACGAATGTTGGCTATTTATTTGCACCATGATGGTAGTGTCTTGACTAATGTTTTTTGTACGGAGTTACTTGGTTTTGAAACAGTTTTGCAGACGTTTGCGAATTATTTTGTTGTATGGGGATGGGATATTACAAATCAAGGAAATAGAGAAATGTAAGTTATCATAATATACTAATGATTGGCTGAGTAAAAGTTTGATATAAGCTAAGTATCTAATTTTATTTATATTGTTATAGGTTCCTGTCATCTGTAACAAGATTGCTAGGGAGCACTGTTACTGAAACAGTCCAAAGTATAAGCATTGATCTTCTGCCAGCACTTGTAATTATTTCAAGATCTCGTGCCAATACTGAACTACTCAATGTAATTTATGGTAATTTCTCAACTATTTACGTTGTTAAACTAACAGCCAGGCCTAAATCATGGTTATGATATGCTATCTTTACAAAAACAATCTCGTTGACAGGCTCATTATAATTTTGGTGTGTTTTGGCCCTGTTTTGATATAAGTTATGTTTTAAGATAGCATTATAAAATTATCCTTTTGTGATGTAGTATTCTTATTTTATTTTTTAACTGGTTTATTGAACTACTGCCTATTTAGCCTATTGCACACCATAACAACAGCTATTACATTGTCATTTTGGTAGATTTTAAGAATTTGATTATGCCCAGTAGGTTGACAAGTTCTCATTGAGTGGAGTTCACTGCACGTTCCATGTCAAATTCTGCAAGCTTCAAATCCATGAACCTGTCATTATTTGAATCCTTTATCATATCTACAGTCTGTGTTAGTATTTCTATCTAGTAGTTTACAGTGAAATAATTGTTAATTACTTAAATTAAATATTTCTTCAGTTGTCGCTTCCTATTCATCAAAAAGGATGGCTCACTTAAAAAAACACTAAACTTCGATTTTCTACTTATCTGCTGAGAATTGGCCCATTGCTTATATGAAATTTTTGAAGTCTGCTATCACTCCTATAAAAATTTCCCTCTACTTACGGGACATCCTTCGTTTGTGGCATCCATCCTGCGATGTCTTATCCTCATCCCTTACCTCGCAGACTGAGAGTGATTTGGGTGCTCATCCGCCTAACATTTAGGGTCATGCTGTCTTAGCCTCCTTCTCATCCACTGAGTCACTTTTCCTTAATTGAACATGTTCTGTTGAGGCCTTCTTTTTGCTCTATTTACTTACCTCAACATCTCGTTAGCCAGTTCCTGGTATTTTCTGTGTTTATTATTATTTACTTGTCAACACATTCACAAAGTGTTTTTGTTTACCTAGGAGGGGCAGATAATCAACTCTAATAATCTCAGATATGTTGTATTTTAATTTCTATTGAATATTGAGAAAGATCCTCACAATTCTGGCAGTATTCAACAGCACAGCCTTCTGGGCTCATTTATTACATGTGTTGGGAGGCTCAGCCTGTCACTAGCTTCCACAATAGCCACTGGTATCAGGGCATTGCTGGAGATCACAATACCCCTTACAGTTACTTTATTAAGTTTATTCGACCTTTTCAACTTGGTACTTCAACCTTTTAATTAGACCTTGATACTTTCGAATTTTTTCTGCACAGACTTGGTTAATGTTGCCATCGTTTGGCTCAGCGATGTCTATAATCTCAGCCTCCTTAATATTACTATCAATTAATACTGGGTTGTCCGGAAAATAATGCAGGATTTTGGTTTAAAAAGAAACATTTACAACTGTTTTATTTAGTTTCCACTATTATCAATACATTTCTGTCGAAGTGTTGACAACTTTTCCATTCCCTCGGAATATAATTTCCCATATTTAGAATTGATAAACTCCAAAAAGCATTTTGTAATTAACTTTGTCCATTAATTTTTTTGTCCCATAAGGAAGAGATCCGTAGAGTAGATGTGGCAGAGACATTTTGTCGGGCATTTTCATGCAACAAAATGATCCCATTTCGATTGTCCAAAGATGGCTTCATTATTGTAAATTTTTTATGCATTGCATTAATTTTGTTACAACACGATCGGCATTGATGGTTTCTCCAGGATTTAAGAATCTATAGTGCATCAAACCAAATGAAGCCCACCAAACAGTAACCATCACCTTTTTTGATGAGTTGGGGGTTTTGGAAATTGTTCTGGTGCTTCTCCTTTGTCGAGCCACTGTCCATAATGTCTACTGTTATCGTAAAGTATCCACTTTTTATCAAAATTAACAATTCTTGACAGAAAAGGGTCGTTTTTGTTTTGCCAAAAAAATGTAGCACAAACTTCATGATTTGTTTTTTTTGCAGTCGTTTAATGTGTGTGGAACCCAACTAGTGTATGATGTAAAGTTTCCATGCAAGTTCTCGATCAGTTGTTCTGGGGTTTTCTTCCACCAAAGCGAGAGGAACCCTAATTTATGTCAAAATTAGGTGATTTTTGCATGACAGCAACATAAATGCATGTTATGACAGAGGAAAAAAATTTCAAATATTTGAAAATTTGGATGAGTTATGACATTTTTCTCTCTCCTGAAATTTTTTTCTGAAAAGTGGTTTTTGCACTCATCGATTCATATGCAGATGACCCAGTAATTTTAGCTAGACACAAAAGTCCAACATACGCCTCACAGAACCTACAATAGTATTTAAAAAGATTACATGACTTTGAACATGAAAGATTACTTCAAATTTTGGAAAAACCAACTAAATCAAGACAAAAATCACAGCACATCACATTTACCCTTCGACATGAAACATGCCCTCCAGTCTTACTTGACAATACACAGATTCCACAGATAAACACCGTTCACTATCTTGGTCTGACATTTGACCGAAAATGACGTGTGGTCCAGATATAGCAAAAAATAAGAAAATGTTAAATCAAAGACTAAGAATTCTAAATTCACATCTTTCGAAACATTCAAAATTAAAACTTTGACAGAAGTTGAACACATACAACTACTTACTAAAACCTATTTAGACTTTCATAAACAAACATCAAATCTTTCAAGCAAAAACATTCAGGACAATTACAACATCAGCTTGATACATTAGCAACATAACCTTATATACCTCCATACATTGACTGCTAACAAATATATACCAACTCATTGCAAGCGATTTCAAGGCAACTTACAAGGATATCCTAATACACTCATAAATGACAGGGCCACTACGCAATGCCAGGTAATCTCTGTAGAAGGCTGGAGAGAAGCTGGATGAGGGATCTCCTCGCCTAATGTAGATATCACGCCAGGAGGAGGTGCCGCTGGGTACTGTTCCTCCTTATACCTTACATGCCATTATGTTTTGCAACGATCATCTCATTCACTGGTTTTCATTACTTATTATGACAGATGTGAATAAAAAAATAAGTTGAAAAAGAATTCTATAGTTTACGCAATTAAATTAGAACATAATAAAAATTAAGAAAATAAAACAATAAGTGTACGAAAAGCCATCATAGATGAATTCCTACTTCGTATAGACATTTTTAAATTCCTTTTTCAAATTTCTTCATCACTTTCACTGGTTCGCCTTTTTATGGCTGTTGATTCTGTACGAATAGTTACAGCGGAAATCTATCCTTCAACGTTCCACTGCTCCTATAGCTATGAAAACTGGATGCTCTGACAGACTGAATCATATATCTGGCGGCCATCACTAACATCAAAACACTAGTGGAAGAATTGGTCCGTCGAGTGCGTTTGAATTGAAAATGAAATGAAATGAAAAATTAAGTTCATTCTGGGACTTAAGTCCCCTTAAAATAATAACACAGTTCAAGAGAGGAAGTCCTTCCACGATCTTCTTTGTCTTCAATGCAGAAGTCTCTCTCCTGAAGTTTTTTGAACCACCATTGAAGTGCATTCATTAATGCTGTTCTCACTCCAGACTTGATTGATATTTCTGGTGGTAGTGATTTTGGCTCTGTATTTCCTCCATATGGCAGGATGGATCCTTTTATGAGAAAAACAGCTGCTTCCAATGATAAGTCCCTCAGAAGCTGTAATTCAAATATCTTGAAGTACATATACATGAGTGAGGCATCTTAGGCATCTTATTTCAATGCTTTGCGAAATTCCTTTATTTGAAAGCCTGAAGTGACAAAATATACAAAGAAGATAGAATGCAAGATAACTCTTCTACCTGCCCAAAATTATTCCCGTGAGTCATGGACCCTAACAAACACGCCAACTCCAAGCCATGGAAATATGAAAATTGAAGGAAAAACTCGCCGAGATGGTGAGAAACGCCATGATAAGGCACAATCTTGTCCTAAAATCATTACATGAAACTCAGGAGGAGAATGCTCTGCGATGGTTTGGACATGTCTCACTGATACTAGGTGAGAGAATAGCTAGGCTGACCTATGACATGAAGGTGGATGAAAGGAGAAGCTGAGAACGCCCCAGGAAAACCTTGGAGGAAGATGTTAGAGAGGCATTTGTGGCTAGAAATCTGGATTAGAGATGGAGAAGGGAGCTGGCACAAGACCGAACAGAATGGATCAAACTCTGTAAAAAGAACTCTCACACTGCATCAGGCAATAGGCTAGGTGCGGATTAAAAAAAAATCAAATGTGGTGCGGTGCGCGCATCACACAACTTTCACTTACCACCTCTTCTTAGCAGAAATAAGTATTTTCAGACAAAGGGGAAGTGAAAGTAAAAATTATAAACACTATAATTAATTATATTTCATTGTGGGTATTTTTATTTGTATAAGTACCCTCATATACATACAAATTTTAATATTTATATTGCTGTAATTTATACAATTAAATATTACCAACAATAGCATCTATGGAAACCGCATATGTATATTTACATAATATTGTCGAATTCCTTATTATATTCAGCATATGTTACATATGGAAGCATGTTCTAATCTTTCGGGCGATCTCGGTTGTGCTGTTATTCCTTTGATTCCTCTATTAAAACTATTCTCCATTACAATCTCTTATTTCTGCTTTAGTTAATTATCAAACTCTTTTATATTTTATATTTAACTATCTTTTATGTATTTCATATATAAGTAAGTGAAAGTAAAAATCAGTCCTTCAATTATGTTGTTGTGCATGTTAAGGAGAAATATAAGGGACATTTATTATTATGATCTAATTATTTGTTTTAATTTTTTCAGGAAACATAGGCATCAATGAGCTTCTGACAATGTTAATCCATGCAGTTGATGTGTTCACTGAAATCCAGGAAACTGAATCCAAGGAGGAAGAAGAAAGAGCTGCGAGAGAAAAAATTAAATCAGAACAGGATAGAGCATACCAAGCTTCTTTACAACTAGATAGGTAAGTTTATCCTTTAATTTCTTTTTATTCTTTTTCATAATAGGAAAATAAGAAACAGAAATGTTAAAGTACTTTTCAAAGTTTTGATGAATATTCAGGGGTAGGTTTCTTATCAAATATGTCATAAAGATCCTTAAATTTCTTGATTCTTAAGTGGTTGGAGAAGGTTTTAATGTTCCTTTTTTTTTATTTATTTTTTTTTATTTCACTTTTAAGGGTCATTCTCACAGAAATAACTTCTACAGTTATGTATTTTTTTTTATTAATACCGTTATTCTGTTTTGTTCCTTTCATTAACGAAAGCAATTTGGCAAGTACACTAGATATCTTCTATAACGATATTGAAGGGACCAAGTAAAATTTGTTGTTATAGCTGATTGTTATAAAAGCATATTAGTTACAATGACCAACATTGCTGTAACCAATCTCAGGTGTCTATAACAGCTTGTTATCTTTATATGAAGTGCCAAGATGGATAGAGAAGAAGATTTAAGAAAAAATAACTTTAAAAAAGTAATATTTAATTGTTGTTTTTACATTTTGATTAGATTTAAAATTCTTGCTCAAGAATTTTTTAATATCCTCTATTCATTCCATTTTTATTTTCACTGATCTATATATGTAATATATAGTAATAGTGAAAACGAATCTGAGTTTTCAACGGAAATATATGTTTTGAGGTCTCCTGAGTTCAAATAACAAAGTCCCGCAAAATGGTCTGTGTGTGTTTGTCTATGTCTGTCTGTGTGTGTTCAGATGGGCTACCCCCACCTCCTTACTATTGTCTTGTTTTCGTTAACCACTACTAATTTAATGAGCGCAGAATCCTCAGAATTGACATTTGAGCATAATAAATTATTTTTCAAGTTTTTTTTTCTAATAATAATAAACAGGTTCTGAAATCGATAATTATTTAACATAAAAAGCACTCCCCAAAATCTTTTAGTCGACATTAATATCGATAGCTCAAAATTAAAAATCAAAAAAAAAAAATTAAAATTAAAATTAATAGCTCAAAAGCGAAAAGTCGTATGAAAATGAAATTGCATATTTAAAGTTTTTATATGCCTGGGTTATTACAGTGACTTTTTCGTCGAAATCGGCTAACCGGAAGTGGCACACTATATCATGGACTAAACACATTTTTACTATTTTCTCAAAAATGGCTCTTAACGATTTTGATTAAATTCATTATATTACATCAGTGTTAAATTGAGCAGTTTTTATTCTCATTGATGTTCTTTAATAGGGCTTTAATGGATAGTTTTCAATATTATCTTCCCCTAAAGTACCTTTATTTTTTTTTATTTTAAACAATGCAATGCACTCTGACACTCAGTTCAAAGAATTTCTAACAAAGATTTATAATGTTAAAATAATCAGCTCAGGAGAACATAAACCTATTAATGAACCTGTTCCAACATCTTCCTACCAAAAACTGAATATACTCTCATAAATCCTGTTCATATCTAGTGTCCTAACAACCTGTCATGCTAACTCCTAATCCCTTCTTGCCCATTACGAAGAATTCCTGCTTTATTTTACTCAAATCTTTTACCGTATTATAGCAATTCCGAAACCTTACTCAACTCTTATATCCTTGTCTAACTACACCTTAATCCAGGAAAGCCAGACTGGGGGCAGTGTAGCTAGATATCTTCATGAAAGCCTTAAGATCAGAATACTTGACTGTTCTCCATCCAATCACCCACAAGTTGAGTTCCTTATCATTGAGATTTCCTCTAATGCCTCTCCCACCATACGTAGTATATTGCCCTCCTCATGTTCACTTTGATCCGCCTTTGAATCACCCCTCTTCAACTTTATTCCCCTTTATTCTAAAATTTATCATTTCCGGTAATTTAAACACTAATTTCTTTTCTGGCGATAAAACCTTATCTTGAAAACCTTTTTTTCTCTCTTTATCTTTTCGTTGGGCCTGTAGATTATTGACTTCGCTCATAACCTCCTTTCTTCCTTCCAATAACCAGTCTCCTTTTAATTCTGCCATGACCTAATCCAAATATCATATAATATTCAAACTCCTCTGATCTTACTTAGAACCATAACTTTCCATAGCCTTTACACCCTTACTCAGGACAAAAAGTTACCCAACCTGCAAACCCTGGATTGGAGTGGAATATGTTCCTGTACCTATAGTGGATATTCTTATCTACAATCTTCTTAATATTCAGTTCGCCATAGATGACAAAAAAAAGTAGTTGTCCTTGTACTCCTTGACTTTTCCAAAGCCTTTGATTCCATTAAACATTCCTGTTTTTCCAAATTAAAATCTGTCTTTTTCCAACAGTTCTATTCTTTGGTAACAATCGTTCCTCTCTCATCGTACCCAAGCAGTTGCTATTATTAATCAACCTTTCTTGTCCTATCTTACTATATCTTATCTTCCTCAGGAGTGGCCTAGGGCTCAAGCATTTCTCCTCTTCATTTTAGTTCCTATATCAATCACTCTCAAGGCTTAAGTGTTATCTTTTATCTTTCAGATATGCCCTCCGTAACATGGAAAAATTTAAATGAAAACCATTCCTTGGCACAACCAATAATAAAAAGTAAAATTTACAAAACAATCTTTAAAATGAATGAAAACTTATTAATTAAATAAAAAATAATTATCATGTAAGTTATTTAGGTCCTTCTCTCCTGCTTGCCAGATGATGGGTAAAAATAAAAATAAAACTGTGGGTTGATTGATGGTTGACTGTAGTGAATAACTGAAGAGAAAGATGGTTGGGGTTATCAGTCAAAATAAAAATATCATAAATAAATAATAATATTTATTTTTACATTCAATCCTTAAATCAATCCTTCACTGTTCCTATTATTTCTATGCCGATGACTCCCAAATTTACCTTTCCTTCACTCCCTCTGAGTTGTATGATGCATTTGCCATAATTCAAGAAAATCTAAATTGGTAGGGCCCCCGGGCACCGACTTTTTGTATTTTTCTGATTTAATCAATATATATGGCTCGACTGTTAGGTTTTGGGGGATGCTTTTTATGAAAATAATGTCGAATTTGAGATAGTGCCCCTGGGCACCGACTTTTTGTAGCTTTTAGGATTTAATCGATATCAGGGTCGACTATTAGGTATTTGTGGGTGCTTTTTATGAAATTAATGTCGGATTTGAGATAGTGCCCCGGGCACCGACTTTTTGTAGTTTTTTTTTAATTAATCAATATATGGCTCGACTATTAGGTTTTGGGGGATGTTTTTTATGAAAATAAAGTCAGATTTGAGATAGTGCCCCGGGTACCGACATTTTGTAACTTTACAGCTTTAACCAATATCAGGGTCGACTATTAGATTTTATGGTGGGCTTTTTATGAAAATAAAGTCGGATTTGAGATAGTGCCCCCGGGAACCGATTTTTTGTAGCTTTTCTGATTTAATCGATATTAATGTCGACTAAAAGATTTTGGGGAGTGCTTTTTATGTTAAATAATTATCGATTTCAGAACCTGTTTATTATTATTAGAAAAAAAAACTTGAAAAATAATTTATTATGCTCAAATGTCAATTCTGAGGATTCTGCGCTCATTAAATTAGTAGCGGTTAACGAAAACAAGACAATAGTAAGGAGGTGGGGGTAGCCCATCTGAACAATAGTTTTATTTTTATTGAAGACAAGGATAATTGGGGTGATCAGTCAAAATAAAAATATCATAAATAAATAATATTTACTTTTACATGTAAAAATAAATATTATTATTTATTTATGATATTTTTATTTTGACTGATCACCCCAACCATCCTTCTCTTCAGTTATTCACTACAGTCAACCATCAATCAACCCACAGTTTTATTTTTATTTTTACCCATCATCTGGCAAGCAGGAGAGAAGGACCTAAATAACTTACATGATAATTATTTTTTATTTAATTAATAAGTTTTCATTCATTTTAAAGATTGTTTTGTAAATTTTACTTTTTATTATTGGTTGTGCCAAGGAATGGTTTTCATTTAAATTTTCCCACGTTACGGAGGGCATATCTGAAAGATAAAAGATAACACTTAAGCCTTGAGAGTGACTGGTTGTCTCGAACCATTAGAGCGGCAGTCACTGACCAAGTACCATCTCCAGCACAAGAAGTCACGTACGGAGGGTCCTCCTGGTAAAAAAAAAATGTAGACTGGCATGTAGACAGTAAGCTTTTTTTTTTGCACAATCATTAACCTACCAATCCCTTAAGATACAGTCCACTGCTTAAAAACTAGAATGTTGCCTTATTGAAACTCTCAAGAGTTATTTTGCCATCATTGGAAAAGTTGCCTAAACAATTATATTATTGTTGTTAATTTTTATATTTTATTATTATTATATTTTATTATTATTATTTATTATTTTATATTTTTTTTTATATTTTTATATTTTATTTAGGATTTAGATAGTTTAATTAAAGAATAATAATTTGTGGTATTATAGGTAAAATTATTTTTCTAGATCCATTTTGAATTTATATAAAACTTGATTTTTATTATTATTAATTTGTGGTGTATCTTTTTTTTTATTGGGTTGATTTTTTTTATTGAATATAATTTCTTATTTGTTGGACTGGGAAGTTATTTCTTTGAATTCTTCTTATTTATCTATATCTATTTATTTGGATTGGATATCTTTATTATTTATAGGTAGAGTAATATTGATTTCTTCTATGGTAATTTTTTATTGTTCTTATATATCTAATGATATTTTTAAATTTCGTTTTTTATTAATTGTTTTGTTATTTGTTTTATCAATGATGTTTTTAATTATTAGTCCTAATTTAGTTAGAATTTTATTGGGTTGAGATGGGTTAGGGTTAGTTTCTTACTGTTTGGTAATTTATTATCAGAATAATAAATCTTATAATGCTGGGATATTAACTATTTTGAGTAATCGAATTGGGGATGTTTGTATTCTTATTTCTATTTCTTGATTATTTAATATGGGAAGTTGAAATTTTGTCTATTATTTGAGTTTTTTGGATAAAACAATTT